TGATGACATTTTGGAAATAATTTGAAGCAATCCTAGCCCTCACCTGCCTGCTCACAATGCCTGGGAACCTGTATGTGAGATGCCTTTGTGTGCACGTCGTCGTGTCCTCCTGGTCGTACCTACGTCCATATGTACTCGCCAGGTCTACCTTTGGCTGTCAGACGCCACGTTGTGGCGCGGCGCGCTCGGCATGTGAGGGAGGGAGGCACTGCAGCTTACCTACCTTAAGTACCTACCTTAGGTACCTACTTCACCTTACCTCCTGGCTTTGGCTGCCCTGTGCAGCTGCCCCGAGGCCCTCTGTGCCTTGGGTTCGCAGGCCTGCTGCAGCCCTACGGGAGACCCCTGCCGTTTCAGCGAGCGAGGCGCCCAAGGCAAGGTACCTAGGCAGGCACCACCTAGCTACATGTAAGGTCAGGTAAAAGAAGTGAGTAGGAGCAGGCAGCTAGCTCGGTCTTCGTAGGATCTCACCCCTTCCCCACGCACGACTCGACCAACCATCCTTCCTTCATCTTAACATCACAATAGCCCCCAAATCAACGACAAAGCCATTCATCCTCCGGTCCCATCTGGGCCCCTCGTCGCCATCCTCCTGCATCCTTCTGCTCCGCAAATCACGTCTCCGCTGTGACCCTTGGCACCCAACGCCCGGGTCTTCTATTTTCTGTCGCAGCTAGGCCCAGGCCCCTCTCTGCTCCCGGGCGGCGGCGCAGGGACCGAATCCTCTGCCGCTTCTATTCTCTTCTTTGGGACGATGTCCCACGCGACCCCCAGGGCACAACTGGCGCACTATCGACGCATCACGGCTCCGAGTTGGTGCCAGGCGAATTGAAAAAAATGGCTCGAAATCGCAGGATCGTAGTCCGGGGTGGCTCAGGAAGCAGGATGCGCTATTCCCTACAGACCCTCGGCGAATGCCTCCTGGCACCATGCTCATGACCCAGCAAACCCATCTATCTCGAAGTTTAATGTCTTGCAACCCCGTTCGTCGCGAATCACGCCTCTCGTAGTTGACCAAGCACCACCAGCCTGGTCCATCCTGCCGGGGCGCGTGTCCAAGCCTGGGTGCGAGGTCCAGTAGTCCCGAAATGGCGTCGTCGTTTATGACGATGTACGGCATGCGGCTCCTTCAGATGACAGCACGGCTGGGACTGGGACCGAGCCCAGACAACCACGCGCTCCAAGGCCCACGGCAGTTTTTGGTGTCCCCCGCCAGGCCGCTCGAGGGTCACGGTTTCCTGAGATCCAAAGCAATGTGGCTCAGGTCGTCCTTCGCGGTCGACCTGGGCCCCTCTCGTGTTCTATTTGGGCCACCATCATTCTCCATTTTGCGTCGGCCTTTCACTCGTTATCGACGGATCGAGACACCCTCCTGACCTCAGCCTGCCATCTTGTCCTATCTGTCATACACACCCTCCCTGTCCACGAACGCACGCGTTGGGACTTGACTGCTTCCCACTGCGACGACGCGCGGAGGTCACTGCTCGGCACCTGCTTTCCTCGACCCCTGGAGCGGCTTATCGTTGGATTCAGGAGCTGTCCAGCTGTCGAGGCAGCATCGCCAACTTCTCACCGGAAGCCGTGGAGATTCTTTGCGCTCATTGTTCGCTTCATAAAGACGGCGTCCTCTGTCTCCTGCCATCTTGACATTTCACACAGACATCATCAGCACCCTCCTACGAGCAAGCACCTTGGACTTTGAAGTGACTTGATAGCTCCTTCAGCAAAGGCTCAGTCAGATATCATCTGCGCCATTCTCAGATAACATCGTTACAATGCCCTCCTCCAGCTCCAGCGGGTACAGCCGTCACTCCCGCGGCAGCGAAGGCCATCGCTCTCGCGTTAGTAGTTCCGGCCTGTCTACTCTTACAACATCTTCCTCATCTGACCACTTCCCTAGTCCTCCATTCAGCAACTCATCACCTCTCTTGAGACCCATCGCGTCAACACCTTGACAGAGCTCTGCCGAATCGAGCGCATCGCTTCCACCTGTGAAGATGAAGATGATGCTCTTGCCTTCCAAGGCCCCATGACCGCCGCCTGGGATTATTACGTCTCGAGCAACCAGCTTCTCACCGAGCTTCGCGGCCTCACCCGTGCCTATCCCTTCAGCGGCGATGTCGTCCGCGACGCGCACCGGCTTGTGCGGAACGATCCGGATTCGAACCGGAGCTGGAACTTGGCGTGGCTGATTCTGGTCAAGATACAGGATGAGTAAGTCATCAAGTCGTCATGAGACTAGAACATCTTCTTGGTGCCACGAGATGCTAACTGTGTAGGGGTCTGATTTCTGTGTACGCTGCCATTGAGGCGAATCGGCCAGAGATGTGGGGTGGTCGACGGCCAGTGGCGGAGGAGGCGGAGCTGCTCTGCGGGTATTTTGAGCAGGAGTGGAATCGTGGCGTTGAAACGATGCTGAGGCACTGGACTGTCAGCCCGACGTGGTACTAGAGAGCGGTCTCGTTTGGCGCAGCTTGGTGTAACATGATGGACTTGGTGGCTGGCTGAAGTGAGAAGGCTCACATGCGCAGCAATGTGAAGATAGGAGTAGGTTTGGGTTGTCATTTGATCTGAAATCGAGTTTATGGCGTTGACGGCGAAGCTCCTTTGACGCATTGTCCATATAGGTCGCTCGAGACCATCATGTCTATTTCTCTTGTGATGCATGCCGATGTCGGGCAAGGTTATCCTACGATCAAATCACCTGTGAAGACAATTGGCGTGCGTACCGTCGACAATCAAGGAGATTCCAAGCTTGGCATGGTGCATGGGTAACATCAATCACAGAAGAGAAGAACCATTCAATTCATCATGTCATGACTGCGCTCACAAAACGCCCCCTATCATCACCATGTCCCGTTGCTTCCAGCGGTGCCGGAACCACTTTCTACCATGGTCGTACACACAACACCATCCCACTCTGTCTAAGTTCTTGCTCTAGTAATGTCTATGCTACAGAATTTCCAAAACAAGTAAATAAAGAAAAGGATTCAATCCCGTACTGCTCCAGTCTAGAACACGTAGCGGAACGCCAGGTTCTCCCTGTCCGTGAGATCCTCGTAGGCGTGGGACGTAAAGTCGGGGCTCGCCTCGGCGACGCCCGACGCGGCCAGCTCGTCCCTCTTCTTGTTCTGGCGGACGAGGTGGAAGCGCAGGGCGATGATGATGAGGACGAGCAGGCCGTAGCAGCCCATGTGGGTGGAAAAGGCGATCAGGTAGCGGGGCTGGTCGCGCTGGAGGAAGACCTGGGGCCCGACGGCGTTGCCGGCGGCCCAGAAGATGAAGTTCATGGCGACGGCGACCGTCTTCTTGGTCTGGCCGGCAATGTTGCGCGAGATGAGGGACAGGGCGAGCGTCTGGGCGGCCCAGAAGGAGAGGGTGATGTAGTACGAGATGAGCAGGCCGACGTTGGTGCCCATGCTGCCCTTGCGCACCGTCATGAGCACGGCCGTGCCGGCGAACGAGGGCAGGCAGTAGACGAGCATGACCCAGAGTTCTGGCTGTAGCGCTTGGCGAGCCACACGGAGCTCAGCAGCACGATGATGATGTAGAAGCCCAGCACCATGGCCAGCAGCTGCGTCTCGATGAGGCTGAAGCCAAACGACTTGATGATGATGTTGGCGAAGGCGCCGAGGCCCGACGTCGGCAGCGTCGTGCAGAAGGCGATGCCGCAGTAGCCCCAGACCTGCGGGTCCGTCAGGCCCTCGACGAACTGGTGCCGCTTGAACGTCTTGTTCTGGATGCCCGTCTGGTTGTCGCGCACGCGCTCGACCATCTCGTGCTTCTCCGCCTCCGTGAAGCAGTGCGCCCGCATCGGCGAGTCGGGCATCCAGAAGCCCACCCACAGGCCGAAGATGACCGAGATGACGCCGTACGTGAGGAAGAGCCACTGCCACGACGCGAGCGGGCCCGTCTTGATGAGGCTGAAGCAGTAGGCGAGCAGGCCGCCGACAATCTGCTGCGCGCCGTTCATCATGTACCTGGAGGACCCCCTTTTGTTAGCGAGCGAGAAAAGAGAGAAAAAGGAAAGGGAAAAGCCAAGGTGGGGGATGGGAGAGTGGGCGCGTACCAGTACGTCACGCGAGAAGCCTGCTCCTCGCGGCGGTACCACATGCCGGACAGGATGACGAAGGCAGGCTGGCAGACCGACTCAAAGATACCGAGCAGCGTGCGGACGACGAGCAGGCCCTCAAAGCTGGTGCAGGCGGCGTGGCACGCGAGCGTGATGCCCCAGGCGACGATGCAGAAGCTGAGGTACTTGGCGATGGGGACGCGGGCGATGAGCCAGTTCTGGGGGTATTCAACGATGAGAACGGCAATGTAGATACACGTCGTCAGCCAGGAATACTACAAATGCCCAGTGGCGGCGTTAGCGATGCGAGCAGAAGAGGGATTTTCAATGTGATGCCGTAACAACGTACCGACTGCTCCAGCTTGCCTTCGGCATCCACCAGACCAGTGTCCTCGGGGAGTCCCATGATGGAGGAGAAGGACATGGTGCCCTTGTCGATGGCCTGGAGGAAGTACGTCAAGATCATGACGATGAGGACGCGCTTGTCGATCATGCGGCGGAGCTCGTCGCTGCGCTCGGGCGAGATCTCGATACGTTCAGCGTTGACATAGTTGGCCAGCTCCCTGTCGATCTCGCCATAACGCGTGTTGGCTTGCTTGGTGTCAATGTCGACGGACTGCGTCTCGGGGTCGTCGTTGATCGTGTCCGGCCTGGCTGTGGGGTTGACAGCCGGGTTTGTGCCATCCTCGTGTTGAGAAATGGTGGCCTTGTTGTCGCCAGCCTCGTTGGAGGTCATGTTGGGCGAATCTGTGGACGAGGGGCTCGACGAGAGAAATCAGAGATGAGATGGGCGTTGTCGAGGAGAGATCCTTCTGGGTCAAGGAGTGAAGCAAGTCTTCAACTTTGTGGAAGCAAGCAAGAAAAGCCTCGATCGTATTCCTCGACTGTCAAAGTCCTGCTCATTAAAAAATCACGTCAAAGTAAGCATGGGCCAGCGTCTTTTTAAAACAAATCAACCACCCCATTTCACGACCGCCCTGGATGCGAATCTAATCAAAGAGAGGCATAGCGCTGGCAGTGACATTAACCCGAGTGCAGCGTGGACGGCATGGGTCTGGAGACGAGCGACTCCAGATTTCTTCACTGGTGCCATGGGGTTGCACGCGGGGATAGAGCTAATTCACTCATGAAGAGAGATAGAGATCTTGGGGACGGACGGCTGGATTGGCTGCCCAGCGAGACTCGACGGTGGAACCAAGGGGTATCATTCAGCCGAAGACGAAAATACAGCGGGGATGCCGTGTCGATCCCCAGCTCGCAGACGACGTGTCGTGGTGTGTCGACCGGGCAGAGCGGCGAGTCAACCTGCAACGGCTGGTAACGCCAGGTCGGGTCAGTAGGGGGCGTGAGACGTGTTGACAGGAACACGAAATCGGATCTCTCGGATCGTGGTGTTGCCCTTGCAACTCCTATTCCGCCTGTCCGTGGCTCCCGAGGGGTGAATGCGTTGTTGGTGGTGAGGGCAAGTCCAACATTGAGGCTCTTGTCCCGAGTTGCGGCTCTTGGTGATGGCCCTGCGGCTCTTTGGCTGTGCCGTGACCCCCTGGCCCCTGGTCACAAGAGGAAGCAATCTAGGCGGGAAGGGTGCCCGTGCCGATTGCTTGGCAGAAGCTTGACGGGCGAGGGCGAGGTGGTCGGATGTCGGCATAGACTGGTGAGCCGACCCTTTCCACCAGTGAAAGGACCCCGTCGTCATCGTGGCTTTTCTCTCCTAAATTTCTCTTGCTTCCTCGTTCTCTTTTCCTAGGGTCTTCTCGGTTATCTGTGCCATCAACGTCACCGGTTCAATTTTGCTGGCTGTGGCTTGCTTGGCTCCCCCGTCGTGATTCCAGTGTGCCAAGAACAAATTCGATGCAACGTCACTCATTTTGGGGAACCCCCTCTCTTTTCCATTTCAGATTCCAAGCACATCGGTGTCGGCCAAGGGCCGATGGCCGCTCGCTGTTATGCTGAGCGGTTCAGCGCAGCGATGGCACGCTAGACCTAACGAGAACCAAAGACCGTTTACCCGAGCCAGTCGCGCGCCATAGCCGACTAGGGCTCTTTGGATCCTTTTTTGGCCGGATCGCGGAGTATCTACCCTCCTCCGACGTGGTGGAGGGCATCCCTTCACATCATCACGAGAAACGTGGTCCGTAGCTGAAGTGAGTGATAACTAGATGTCATTCCACGATGCCCGCTTTCCACGCCTTGATGGAGATGTGTTGGGTGTTGTTGGATGCTTCCAGTCAGGACTGCCGCGACTCTCCTGGGTCGGTGGTCTCGAACCCAGAATGATCTTGCAACCTGGAGGAGGAGGAGAAAATTTCTCGTCTCATAAATTCATCGCTTCGATTGTAAGTACGTCTCGGGTTCCCGAATCGCCACTCGGACCCAACCTCAGTCGCAATTCTTTCCATCTGAAAGACGGCCGACAGCGGTATATAGCCAGCTTTTCCGCATCATCCGTGCTGAGTTGCTTCCCAGACTGGCAGAGGAGACTGATCATGGGCGCTTTTGTCAAGTCACTCCAGGCCACACAAAGTGTGCTTGCGTCCGAAGTCGCCGGAAGCCACATGATCCCGTATGAAGCATTCACCGGCAAACTGCCGACAACCGGAGACTCATGGACCGAGTTCTGCCAAAATGCGATGAAAGAAAGGGCCAGCACACGAGGCATACTTATGTACCTGTGCTGTTGAGTGGGACAAAGAGGGAACCTCGGGGCATCTTCATCGTCGCTGGTGCTCATGTGGCTGAGCATGAGCCACAACCCTTCCCCGATGGGGTAAGACGGTGGGGGAGATGAATGCTTTTTCACTGGACCAATTTACCAGATGGTGAGGAGATGAGGGGAAACGCAGTGGACATCGTGGAGTTTTCCACACCGAGCTTTCATTAGACCCCCACGGAGAGAGAAAACGAGGGGTAAAAACTTGGGGCTTCGGGGGGGGCTTCGGGGGGGGATCATTTGCTTGGGGGCCTTTGCACCGTTCTCTCATTGGCGAGAATAGCCGGTGCATAACAATTCATGCCGAAAAGAATGGCAACGGCCATCAAGCCAGTGACCTTCTGGCCATGCCGTGCGTCTTAACCTGTCCCCCCCCAAGGCTCGGTAGCATGCAGAGAAGAGACCGGGAGTCCCGTGGCTTCGTGAATGCACTAGCCAACTGCCAATACCAGGACGTAAGCCCTTTGTGCGACTGGTGCACCAGGGGGCGGCGAGGCGTCTCCCACTCGGCCTGCATCAGTCCGAGGGCCTCCCCACTCGCACGCCAATGGCCCATGCCCCCGAGAAGGAGGGGTCTCGACGTGCCCCTCACCCCCAGACTCGCCAAAGTCGGGGCATGTTCATAAAGGTTGACGAGCCTGCTACATCGAGCCAGTGCCGTCCTGCCGGCGCGTGTTCTCCTCGATTCTGTCCAGACACGTCGACGAAACTTGTGCCGAGAAGCCGAATCTTTTTTTCTTGCCCACCCTTCTTTCTTCATATCGGAAGGTTGTAACGTGTTTGATGCCATCATCGTGAGAAACGTCGTTACGAGGTGAGTTCTTCTGCACCGATGGCAAGGGCCTTCAAGGCTATGTGCCACGCATCCAGCCTTCATTGTTTGATATTGACAGTACTAGACCAAAGAGAATATTCTTATCTCCCCAAAGCTGAAACGCATTGAGGAAAAAGGAGTACAGCAAGAATCGCTACAAACAAAAACCAACTACTGCCAACCGCCAATCCCCAATCTCACCACCATCATGCCTCTCGAGCTCCACGGCCTCAAGTCGGCCGACATCCACGCCAAGGTCCGGTCTCTCATCCACGATCTCGTCAACATCAAGGATGAGACTGGCGAGTTCCTCATGACCCTGGCCGACGGCCGCATCATCGACACCAAGGGCTGGAACGACTGGGAGTGGACGCACGGTGTCGGCCTGTACGGCATCTGGAAGTACTATGAGCTGACCGACGATGCTGAGTTCCTCAAGATCATCGAGGACTGGTTCCAGAACCGCTTCGACGAGGGCCACAAGGGCAAGAACATCAACACCATGGCCGTCTTCCTGACCCTGGCCTTTGTCTACGAGAAGACGGGCAACCAGACGTACGTGCCGTGGCTCGACAGCTGGGCCGAGTGGGCCATGCACGACCTCGGCCGCACCAAGTACGGCGGCATGCAGCACACGACCTACCTCGAGATCAACGACGAGCAGCTTTGGGATGACACGCTCATGATGACCGTCATGCCGCTGGCCAAGATTGGTCTCGTCCTCAACCGGCCCGAGTACGTGGCTGAGGCCAAGAGGCAGTTCCTCCTGCACACGCAGTACCTCTTCGACGCCCCCTCGGGCCTCTTCTTCCACGGCTGGACTTTTCCGGCGGCGGGCCACCACTTTGCGCGTGCCCGCTGGGCGCGCGGCAACGCGTGGCTGACCATTGTTATCCCCGAGTTTGTCGAGCTGTCGACCTGCCCAAGGACGACCCGCTGCGCTACCACCTCCTCAACACCGCTCGAGGCGCAGGCCGCGGCGCTCGTGCCGCTGCAGGAGGCTGACGGCTCTGGCGCACGCTGCTCGACGTCTCCCAGGACGAGGGCTCCTACGTCGAGGCCAGCGCGACGGCCGGCTTCGCCTACGGCATCCTCAAGGCCCAGCGCAAGAGGTACATCGGCAAGGAGTACGAGGCCACGGCCATCAAGGCCGTCAACGCTTGTCATTGACAACATCAGCCCGAGGGCGAGCTGCTCACACGTCGTTCGGCACGGCATGGGCACGACTGCAGCACTACAAGGACATTCCGAGGACGAGCATGCGTACGGCCAGGCCATGGCCATGATGGCGCTGGTCGAGTTCCTGCGTGTGTACTACTGAGGCAAAGGGTGGGTCAATAGCATTGGTGTAGCGGGTTGAATTTTGTTCCAAAAAAAAAAGAGAAGAATAAATACATTGATACCAAATGGTTAATTCGTTGGCTGGACGTGTTTGAAACTAGAGAAAAAGAAGATGACTTGTGTGTCTCAGCCTCGCTCAGTTGGTGAGTAGTGTGTCTGTGTCACGGGTCCATGGAATTGTCGTCTGGTGATCAAGCCAGCAAGGTGCATGTGTGTCGGTGGTCCCGACGGATAGCGGTGAGTGAAATATCTAATGACAACGGCCCTGAGATGGTGATTGTGCCTTGGTTTTGACGCTGCCTGGGATGTGCCGTTGACAGTGCCTGTGGGACTTGTGATGATCAAGAGCAAGAACGGGGGTAAAGTCAGCAAGGCCCCGCGAGGCAAGGTCCGCATCTGGTAGAATGCAGGAATGCAAAGTGAGGCTGCACACACCAGCCATTGGCGGTACGCCGAGTCTCACCGGAGACAACCCCGGTCGTTCTTTCCCCACACCCTTATCTGCTGCTTATCGCTGCACATCATCGACGCCGGAGCTTTCTGACCAGACCACTGCCAGTGCCACCCACCCGCGTCCGAACCCGCTCGCACCTGCTGCATCCGCCACACGGGCACCTCGTCCAGTGACCTGAGTCCCTGGCAGCAGCCTGGGGGTAAGGACCTAGGCAAGACCGAGGGTCAACCGCTGCTGCCCGCCCGCCCGCCCGCCACCATCAATCTGAGTGAGGCAAGGTACGGCAGGCACGATCAGATCCCCGCACGCGCGATTTCGCTCGCCTTCATTCCTCGTCTTTCTGATTTTTCACCTTTCCACCTTGACAAACGACGACAAGTTGATCCATCAGACTCTGCCATTGTCACCATCATGCGGCAACGCGCTTGAGTGCCCACCAACACTGCGTTCCCATCCCAGGGCTTTCGCCTCACGATTCGAA